GTTTTCCAGGAATGCCGCTGTTAGCTAGATTCACAAACTGCCTACCACCCTGAACTGAATGGGGAGACAGTTGAATGGGGCCCTGTTGGTTTTTTTATACCCCCGTTCTATTCCCCACCCCACCCCACCCCCATCTCCTGCTTGGATCCTGTGATTGTTTTGGCTAGTACGAACAACTCCCTACTTAGGCCTCAAGGTTTCCAAATATTTTCAACAAATGGGTAAGGAACAAACATACTCTTCTTGTGTCTGGTTTACCAAACTAATGACCCACAGTTAGGGAGTTCCCAAACTAGTGGCCCACTATTGAGGACTGGGAGAGGAGGCTGCTGTGGTGGTGTAGGAGGTCCTCTGTCTTTGTGTTGCTTTCACTGGTTCCTAAAGAAACTGCTTTGGAGACAGAACCCACATGTAGCCTCAAGCAAGGTAAGGAACCAGGGTGCAGCCTCAGGCTTTCCTCCCCTAGGCCTTTAAGTAGCAGGGAAATATGTGTTTGGTTATTTGAAACACACTATATTTTTGTTGTTGTTGCCTACAGCTGGATGGGTATCCTGGTGCTCCAGCTGTTGGCTCTCACAGATATGTCTTCACTGATGTATTCATACTATCTTCTTATATGTCTCTTTCTCTGGACTGTTGAACCACAGGGAGTGAAGATATTCTCGGACTTATTCCTCAGTGTTCTTTTTATGAGAATATTTATATGTCATATTCTTGCTCAAGTTTGGTTTTAGGAAGAATTTTACATTTTTCCTTATGGAGTTTTGTAATAAATTAATAGCTGCGTGACATTAATTTTCATAAAGCTTCCAGGAAAATAAAAGTAACTACCTCATCAAAAAAAAAAAAAAAAGAAAGAAACTGCTTTGGGCCTGTTGACAGGACAGAACTTAGGTAGGCAGGGAAAATTAAATGGAACACTGGGAGGAAGAAGGCAGAGTCAGAGAGATGCTATGGAGCCACTGCCAGAGTCAGACGTGCTGAAACTTTCCTGGTAAGCCACTGCCACATGGTGATACACAGATTAATAGAAATGGGTTAAATCAAGATGTGAGAGTTAGCCAATAAGCGACTAGAGCTAATGGGTCAAGCAGTGATTTAATTAATACAATTTCGTGTGTGTTTTTGGAGGGGCTAAGCAAGCCGGCCCTCTGGGACGAACAAGCGGGCCTTCCTTGCAACACTGTGGAGCACAGGATGAGTGAGTTTGTGGCCTCATCCTGAGTTAGCAAGAAATGTTCCAGGCCCTTAGGAATCTGAGGTGGAAGGTGGAGGTGGCGAGAAGCAGAGAAGATCATGGCGGCCCAGCATGATATACAAAGCTGGACCAAATTTGGGGAAAGAGATTATTTCACTGAATAGGGCCTGGAGATTACAAAAATGTCTGAGCTTCCAATAGACATATGATTTCATCTCCCAAGTGAAATGATGAGTTAATAGCATAAGCAATCTTGAAAATGCTTCTTGTCCACTGCCTTACACCGATCAATTTAAAACAAACCCCAAGGCGTCATACACTGCATGCTCTACCTAACAGAGCACACACTGTGGGGCGATTGGTGGCTCCCCTGTACTGAGAGGGAGAGAGCCAGGCAGAATGCAGGAATAAGTCTGTCTTAGCTCACAATCAAGAAAGAGAGGGGCTCAAGTGAATGATAATTTATTGAATAATGAATATCATAGAGGCCTGTGCAAATACTGTGCCCATTCAAAGGAAGGAGACACAGGAAAGGACACCAATTCCAGGGAGGTGAGAGCTGCTCTTTTTCCTCTTCTGGGTAAGCAGAGCCAGGAGGACCCAGACCCGGCCCACTGGGCTGTAAAGTAATAGGATCTGCTAATGGAAGGAGTGGTTAGAAATGCGATTTAGGATAAAATGACAATGTTAAGGCCAGAGCAAACATCTGTTTTATATGGAACATTCATTGCGCTGTAAGTAGTCCCCCAGACCTTACCACTGTAGTTGGCATTTTCAGAAGCCTATAGAAAGTTCTCCTTAAGTTATAAGTTTCTTGAAGGCAACAGGATTGTTGTCTTGCTTTTTTAGCTTTTGGAGTGGGTTTTTTTTTTTGTCTTTATTTTTATTCTTAATCTTCCTATAACCACATGTTCAATTCATTCTTAACATGCTTTCTTCCCTCTGGCATCTTTTAGGAAAAGATCTTTGGTGTCCCTTTTACTCCCATCAAGAATGTCTATGATCTCTTGACTTTGTTTTACTGGTGATTTGTTTACCTTTTAAAAGTTAATTCTGATTCCTAGAGAACTGAGTATGATATTATACTTAAGGCCTGGAACAATCTGGAAAAATCCCAAGGAGGTATGAAAGAACCTGAAAGCACCGAGCAGCAACCTCAGTGTGAGCTAAAGACAATCGTGGGAGTCAGAGATGGAGAAGGAGGTCCTGTCTGGCAAGTCCGGGGAGCCGGACTCCCTCACCCCCTCACCTAGCTCCCAGACTCCACAACCTTTCCCCCTGCATCCTATCGATTACAAGTTCTGAGATACACCTAAATATTTACCTGGAGATTCTAAACAGTATTATGGTGGGTGCATATGTGAAGTAATTTTGTATTTAAGGAAACGTAATAATAAAAATGCAGAAACTGCTTTCTATTGCCTTGGGTTATGATTCTTGAGACACAAACAAGTGTGTGCTGAAAACCTCTGGGAGGGTGAGATAGGTCAGTGCGTAAAGGTGATGCTTTCAGGTCTGAGGGCAGGAACTTGATCTGCAGACCCAGATGGTAGAGAGAACATGTTCCTGCAAGCTTTCCATTGACTCACACACACACACACACACACACACACACCGGGGGGGGGGGACGGAGAGATAGAAAGAGGGGGGGGGGGGGGGGGGGAGGAAGGGAGAGAGACAGACACAAAGACACAGATTTGGTGTTTTGTAGAACATGACCAGCAGTGTATAAAAAAGTACTGACATGATTCTTGAGCATTAATGTGCTCAAAATCCACACGAATTGCTCTAAAAATAAGGAAACATAATCCCAAATTAATTCATTGGGTGGGACAGTCACCACTGATAACGAATATTACAGAGGGACAATTAGGCAGTCGGTGCTCCAGAGGAACACTCGATAATTCACATCACCTGCATCATTGCCAAAAATAGTAAACTCTTACTCTGGCTAAGATTTTACATTTCACAGATGATGGGGAACATAATGTTTATTACTTAATTCTTAATGATAAAATGGTACAAAATAAGTTTCTAACGTATAGAAATAAATGAAAATAGAGGATCAACAGTTGTATTAAATGACTTTTTAAATTTTATTGAAGTGTATTTCCATATGTCTGTGGGACTATATCCTTCATGTGTGTGGCTGCCCATGGGGGTTAGAACAGGCCATACAATCCCCTGGAGCCAAAATTGTGCGTTGTGGTAAGCTTCCTGATGTGGGGCCCTAGATGCTGAACTCCGGTACCCTGATGTGGGGCCCTAAAGGTTGAGCTCAGGTACCCTGGAAGAACAACAAACACTTGTAACCATGGAATCATCTATCTCCCCAGCGTTTAAATCACACCACAAAAGTACAACCAGTAAAGCACAGCACCCAAAAAGTTCTGCAGGACAAAGGAGCCCAGACAAAAGACTTATTAGCCATGTGGAAGATTTATTTTGTCTTTGATTTAAAAAAAATTAAGACAATTATTCAGTAAAGTGACTGTAGATGTTGTTAAAGTATTGTGTCTGACAGTAACTCTGAGAAAAGAATGCTGGATACATTCGCTGTAAAGGAACAGCACATGTTGGAATATAGTATATGTTTTATTTCAACTTGAATACTGCAAAACGAGCACATGTATTTAAATAGCACAAAGTTCCCCACAAATCTGTGCAATTGTTATATGTCAGTTAAAATTGATAATGTAACAAAATCTATGAGGGACTCTGGGACATTTGAACACTAACTAGGCTTTGGTGGGGTTGGGGGGGTTCTTTTTTTTTTAGTAACTTCATTAATATTTTTATGTATGAATGCTCTGTCTGCATGTACATCTGCAGGCCAGAAGAGATCATTAGAGCCCATTTCAGATGGTTGTGAGCTATCATGTGGTTGTTGGGAATTGAACTCAGGTCCTCTGGAAGAGCAGCCAGTGCTCTTAACTGCTGTGTCATCTCACCAGCCCCTGTTCTTGTTTCTTTCTTCTTCTTCTTCTTTTTTTTTTTTAATTCAGTATGGAGCCCTAGCTAGTTGAGAACTAACTATGTAGAACAGGGTGAAATTCACAGGTAACCTTGGCCTTTGGTTCTCAAGTGCTGGGATTAGAGATGCACATGCCAGGCTAACCAGATATTTTATATAAAGAAACGATATTTTTTCAATATGAGATATACCAGCAAATGAGCTTTCCCGGAGTTTCATCACTTAGAGATACACAATGTCACGTTGGCAGATGAAGTGATGTCCAGAGTTGGCCATAAAACACTCAGAAATGGAGATTGGAATCAAATTAGGTTGCTCATAGATTGAGTTATTAAAGATGAATAACAGTAATGGCGATCCATTCCAATAGAACATTGTAATCAATTCTGTTTTGGAAATATAATATGTTTGAGATTATCCAAACAGAAGGAACTTGAAATGCAGATTTGTGGGTATCCTTGTGATTTTTTTTTTAAATGATTGTGACAAACACAGAAAGTAACTAAAAGTAAATCAGGAAATGAAATCAACTCACACTGCCAGGTCACAGAGCATCACTGAGGGGAGTCTGGGCAGGAACTGAAGCAGAAACCCTAAAGGAAGGCTGCTTACTGGCTAGCCTTCTGGCTTAGGCTCAGCTAGCTGTCATCTACAGTATAGGACCACCTGCCTAGGGACAGGCCTGCCCACAGTGTGCAATGACCTTGTAGTCAAGACAATGACCCTGTAGACATGTGCACAAGTCAATCTGATAGAGGCCATTTTTTAATGGAGGGTCCCTCTTTCCATGTGACTCTAGGTCGTGTCAAACTGAGAATAAAATCTTACCCCCAGCATATCAGGCTTTGTGTGTGGGAAATCCTGACACCATCCATAACAATCTCTGAGTATGACAATCATTCGGAGAGCAGGTGCCAGCATTCTTTCAGGATTTGGGCTCTGGGAGGGTTCTCAAAGGCTCATCTGTTGAACCAAGGCTCTTTCTGTGATCACGTAACCCTTCGTGAATGTCTTCTTACTAGTCACACAGGCGGGAGAGATACTGCCAGGCCTTTCAGGAAGCGAGACGTTAAATTGGTATCAGCTCTCACTCCACCCCTTCTCTAAAGAAACAATGTTATCCTGAAAAGGGAAGGTAACCAAAGGTGCCAATCCACCTTAGTGCTGGCAGCTGGCATCACAGGGCACAGACTACACATGCCCTGGAACTGAGATGTGGAAGACAGGGCTCGCTGCCTCATAGAGCACACAGACTAAACACAGAAAGAACAGTCAGGTTGTAATTTCATGGAATATGGGCTACCACCCCAGCTGTTTGCTTGCAGGTGGCTCTTGGTGAAAATCAACAGTTAAAGCTGCTCCCAGCTGTGTTCCCCGGGCTAACAACATGACTGGTGTTGACGCACAACTCTGGAGTTCTGCCAGCGCTAGGAGTCTTCCAGAAGAATCTCTTGCTTATCATGAGAGGTTCTGGGCTTCTGCCTGGAGTCAGCTCATCTCAGGGAAGGTGGATAAAATGACTGCACCCTGGCCTCCCCCAACACAGGTCATTGTGGTATGGAATCTCCTTACCTTTCCGGCTCAGTCTAAAGAGACTTCATCATACAGCACTGGTAACTTGTGGACTAGCCAGATGGGCACTGCTCATATCCTACATTTTTGCAGACAAAGACCCTGAAGTTTAAGGTCTCAGCTACTTGCCAAGGACACTCAGGTCAGGGTCAGAATTCTGGTACCCTTGTTCTAGACTTTGTGCGTTTAAACACACCCTTGATGCAATCAACTTTCACTTTAATCCACATCCTTCTCCTATCAATATGTGTTGTGTGTGTGTGTATGTATGTATGTGTATGTGAACATCTTCCCAACATCATTCTCCCAAAGAAATTCTCTTCCCTTTTACTTAAGCTGCACCCATTAAAGAGCTGACTCAGCTTCAACAACCCTGTCCAATACCTTTGTCAGGAAGCCTTTCAGAATTTCTTCCACAACTCCCGTTCCCAAAAGCTTTATAACATTCTACTGGGGGAATTTTTGACACTCGTATTTGTTTCCTCACACACACGTGCATATGTGTATGTGTGTGATAGGTACCTGTGAGTGTGGGTATGTGCTTACATGTGTTGACCAGAGATTGACTACAGGTGTGTTTCCTCGACGATACTCCTCACCTTTCTCTGAGTCCCTCGCTGAACCTGAAGCACATTGATTCAGCTAGACTGGCTGGCTGAAAATCTTCAGAGATCCATCCATTTCTATGATTCAAGCTCTGGGCTACAGGCCAGCGACACCCAACCTCGCTTTCTTCTTGAGTGCTGGGAAGAGGAACATAGGATTTTCAGTGTACCATATGGGACGTCACCCTAACCTCTTGTTTGTTTGCTTGCTTGCTTTAGTTATATACCATTACAAACATATAGATATTTAGCTACTTATATACTTGTTATGTTACACTAGTTTCCTCTATATTTTGCATGTAGCACTGACTTAAATGTGTCTGGCTAAATGTGTTCAATCTGAAATATACATAATGTAGTCTCCTCTGTCAAAATAAGCTTAAATGCACAAAGGAAGTTAGACAATGCAAAGCAGTAATGTCTGTGGTTCATCCCCGAATAATTAAAACCAAAACATCTTGAGCAACGTCATCATTTATGCCCTTGCTACTCTGGATGTGCACAAACTGAACTGGTTGGGAACGAGTGGCCACTGTGTTTCAAACAGCTTTGCTTCACACAGAGGTGGGTGAAATGCCCAGGAAGTAAACCTGCTTGCAAGGCCACTCCTGACCTTTCTTGCCCTTTGTAATTATAGATTGGATTGGGTGTGTGCGGAGGGAAAGGGCAGCCCTCTGGGGAGATTAATGAGATGGTCTGAAGGATGAAGATCAAAGCACAGCCTTGGCTGCAGACCACGCCGTGGCTCTCTGATCTCTGTACCCCGGGAACCCCCTGTAACCTCACGTGGCATTCTGTACCCCTTCCTGGGGTCAGCATTCTTCTCCAACACTCTGTCCCCACTCCGTGCTTACTTCTCAGAGGCTTCTTTTCTGTGTCTGACCACACCCAGCTCTCTGGCCACCAGACAGCACCACCAAGAACAGTTTTACAGATTCAGTAAGAAACTGCTTTCCACTTAGTATGGAAACCCAGGCAATGTGTGTTCAAACTTCCATCAATTATTTAATTGACAGATGCTATTGAGCCTCTTTATGCAATTTCTAATTCCTCTAACTTATGCTGAAGTCATAAATCTCATAGACGGTCCCCTTTAAATCACCTATGGCTTGTTACCTGGGATTTCCAGTGACATTTTCTAGTGGCGAGTGAGTTGCTGGTAGGGTGAAGTTACACCGGCAATGGCCCTGAGCTCTACTGCACAATCAGGGATAGATCTCACGGGCTTCATGATGCCGCCTCTGCATTCTCCTGGTTCCAGTTTCTGTTTGGGAAGTTTCCTTAATGACTTAATTCTTTAAGAGAAGAAAACCATGTGTTTTTGTTTTTTTCTGAAAGTCTGCCTTCTAGTGAAGTTCATGTTTGTTTTTGAGACTGTGATAATCCCCCAAGAGGCACCTGTGCCCATCTTCGTTATAATCCGCTTCTCCTCTTGATTTTTCTTGACCCAGCTCACTGAGCAGGTGTTGTCTACCTGCTGGGTGGCTCTCAAGTGCCATCCGTGGAGCGGCCCGAGAATCTTGGCCACTGCCCTACTGAATGCTCAGACTCCCTTCGTAACCATTTAAAAATATGCTGTTGTAGCAGTGGTTCCAAGTTCAAGGGTTTTATTTTCACTGGGTGCTTCAAATATCACCACCGTGCTCCAAATAGAAGCCAGGGTGGCGGCTTGTCTATTAAAATTTGTGTTTGGCCATTCTTTACCTTTCCGCTTCTGCATTCCTCCCCTACCCCATACTGACACTGCCCCCCCCCCATTGGAAATGCATCTGTTTGGGAGAAATTACTGACTGAAGGAACCAAGAGCTTTCTCCTGGTAAACATTTCCCTGGAGCAGCATCGATAACCTCTTGGGCTCCCATGACTGACATAGTAAACCAGTTTGTCCTCATTCTGGAGACCTTCCAGTTTGTTACAATTGTTCTCCTGGAGGAAGACACGCTCGAAATCCCCGTTTCAGACCCTGGGTGAAAAGGTGAGACAAGAATTGTTTGTCACAGATGTTTTACCTGTGGGCCTTCAGGCTGTCTGAGAGTTTTCCTCAAGTCCGCTGGGCAGGTGGCCTTGCCATTCTATCCACAGCTTGTCATGAGCAAACCAAGTATTAAATACAATTCTGCTTGGCGGGGAGTTACTCTGTGCAATGACAAGCCCTGACGAGTGTCCCTTGGACGCTGCTCTTGGGAAGGTCATCTTTTCCCAAATCTTCTCTCATTCTGTGGGTGAGAAACTTTTTGTGTGTCTACAGAGACCTTTAAAGAACCGGGGAAGGCAAACTAAGTGTAAAGAGCCATTGACTGGGCGCAGCCCCGTGGATGGTGAAGCGGAGACAAAAAGCCTGGCTGAGAAGTGTCAGGCATTCCTCTCATTCTGCTCTGGAAAAGGTATTTCTTTAATCCGCCTTCTCGATTATTTATGGAGCTGTGTGTTTCCTCTTAATTGTCAGTTGGGCAAAGCCCTTCTGCTGTAAGGAGACACCCTAGCATTTGTCGAGACCTTAGGCAAAGTGATTGACACTAGATCCCGGAGTCAGATGTCTCCAGTGACGCAACTCGTTCTCCCAGCAGCGGAAAAGCTTCCTGCCACGATTAAGTTAGAACTGTGGAAGTGCTAAAATGTGTGGGTAGCCTTCCTCTGATGCAAGAGCTGTTATTATTGAGCCTGCTTGCAGAGGAGTGTAGCAACACGAACCCTACCTCCAACGGCTCGACTCCCTCTGACCTGGCTACTTAACAGCCCAAGTCAGTGTGCTCTGTGCATGGGTCAGGCGCTGGAATTACTGAAGACCACATTCATGCCTCCTCCAAACTTACAGTGTTGTTTTGCTCTATGCCTATACCTTTTTCTTCTTGGTCCATAAAGCAATAGGATCACCATTTATTTATGGATGGCGATGTCCGAGGCCTCACTAAGGATTTGAGGCAAGGGAAGCAAGTAGCAATCCATTCTGCATTTGCACTTCAAACAGGAGCAGTCACCTGCTGGCTTCCCTGGATGGGAAGCCGAGGGGAGCAAACATAGAATTCTCTTTATTTTGGGTGTAGCCTACAATCTCCAAAGCAAATGGTGGAGAAGTCGAGAATAAGGAGTGAGAGATCACAGGCTGACCCATTCCTTGTTAAAGCAGCACAAAGGCTTTCTTAACTCCATGCGCCCCAATGGTCCCAGAGCCTCTTAATCTGTAGGGGTCCTAGGCCAAGTGTGCATCTAGAAGATGATTGCCTCTCAGTGGTTACATAAGGATCACTCTCAGTTACTAATGACAAATTCATTCGTCTATGTTGAACCACAACTAAAGCAATGATACCCCAAAACGGTCATGGGCCATAAAATTTTTGGATTAAGTTGAAAATGATGGAGAAACAGACCAGGGACTGGCTTGCACCCCCATTACTTGGAAGATTAAGACTCATCGAGGTGCTTTCAAATAACCATGGGTTCTTTGTTCTTATTCTGTCTTGATGCCTGAGTCCCGGAATCCAAACATGGATGGTTAATATTCAGATTGGGAAACTGGCAGTATAGGATCTTGTTGCTTTTCTAGAAGATTTATGTTTGATCTACCTTTACCAGCCTCAATGCAGATCAATTGCAATGCACAGTATCAATTACCAGGTTACCATTTGAATTTCTAGTACCTAGGTGTGTTTGGCAGGTTGTTCATGATCTGCTGACGCTGGACAAACGAGTCAACGGGTCAATGCATGACTGGAAACAAACGCGGTGCCAGGTTGCTGCCCTGAGTCAGCAGCTTCGAAGCGAAGTGGTGTCCTATTCTGGTGTTTCCTGGAATTGTGTGTATGTGTGTGTGCGCGCATGCTCATGTGTATGGGCAGGTATATACAAAGGCCGGAGGTCAATGTCCAGTGTCTTCCTCAATCGCTTCCCATCTTTTTCGGGCTGAAAATCCATCTTTCTGCTGATTGGTTCGCCCAGAGGTGTGGGCTCGATAACGACCTCTCGATCCAGTCAAGACATTGTTCAAAATTAACCACCGCACCCCACCCTGCCTCCCTTGGCAGCCTGAGGTGGGCTCACATTCGGAACTCTGAATACCCTGCATAGGAAACTCTAGGAGGTTGAGAATAAATGCATCATTTTAGATTCTGTGTTTGCTAGCTGGAGAAGGTGTCTTGGTGTTTATAAAATACTGAAAAGATGTGGAGGTCCTCTTCAGAGGACTTGGCTGCAGATGTAAGCGATTCAGTAATTGTTTCCCCTGACCCTGCACTGCTCAGATCCTACGGAGGGCGTTTATTCCAGTGTGAGGCATTCAAAGTTTACTTGTATCCCAGAGAACAAGTGGATAGACGGCTGAGTTCCGCACTTAGGATCCAGGCCCTATTCTGTATGTGTGTGTAAGCATGAGCGTGTTTAGGCATCCATGCATACGCAAGTGTGTGTTTTTAAGCCCATGTTAATGAACATGGAGGCCACAGGATAGCCTCGGGTGTTATTCCTCAGCTGTGGTCTATCTCATTTTTGTTTTCAGACATAGTCTCTCATTGACCTGGAGCTCACCCAGTACATTAGGTTGGCCGGATAGTGAGCCCCAAGGATGTTCTTGCCTTTACCCTCTCAAGGAGCAGAAGGAGGGAGAACATGAGCAAGGAACTCAGGACCGCGAGGGGTGTGCCCACCCACTGAGACGGCGGGGTTGATGGAATAGGAGCTCACCAAGGCCAGCTGGACTGGGACTGATGGACCATGTGATCCAACCGGACTCTCTGAATGTGGCTGACAATGAGGGCTGACTGAGAAGCCAAGGACAATGGCACTGGGTTTTGATCCTACTGCATGTACTGGCTTTGTGGGAGCCTAGTCTGTTTGGATGTTCACCTTCCTAGACCTGGATGGAGGGGGGAGGACCTTGGACTTCTCACAGGGCAGGGAACCCTGACTGCTCTTTGGACTGGAGAGGGAGGGAGAGGGAGAGTGGGGAGAGAGGGAGAAAAATGGAAGGAGGGGAGGGAGTGGAAATTTTTAATAATAATCAAAAAAAACCAAGTACATGCTACCACACTTGACTTTTTGACATAAATATGGGATGGGAAATTGAGCTCAGACCTTCATGCTTGCAAAGCAAACACATTGCCAACTGAGCTCTCTCTCCAGCCCCTTGCCCTCTTCTATACTGGTGGCGTGTTGCCCTTTAGTTGGCTTAATCCAGGACTCAATCTCCTGATCTGTAAAATGAATTCATAGTAAGATCGACTTCACGGGGCTGTTGTCAAGACCAAACGAGATACTCCGTGGGAAGTTCAGATCATGAAGTTTGGGGTGTTAGAGCAAGCCTGATGCAGGCAGCTCTTCGGATCATGAACTAAACTCTGAGGCTCTAATCTGTTTTGTTGGTTTCCAGAGAACTTCTAAGGACCTTATCTCTTTGTGATTTGTTCCGTCCAAGTCCAATCTAAATCCCGTTCTTTTTTTTACCTCTTGTCTGATCTTAAGCCTTCTCTTCCCGAGTGCAGATCAATTTTCAGTACCATGTCCTCTTTCCCAAATAGATACTTCAAAAGATGGAGTGATTGAGATGAAAAAAATAGATCTAAACAATCAATGAAGTTGTACATACAATCAGTCTCCAGTGTTGATGGCAGAGTAACTGATTCAAAAGTTTCCCAACAACTGTAAAGTGATACATCTGGTATTGAAACTGAACAAGCACCCACCCATGAGCCCAGGGATCCATTAATAGGTCTATAGCCAACAGAAATACATGCACATGTACTACAAAAGTCATTCAGGGGAAAGTTCATAACAGTACACCAATTTTTTCTGTTTGTGTATAGAAAATTATCTCCCAGACTTAGACATAAAATACTGTTTATTATGTTTCAGTTGCTAGGAGTAAGTGCCTTGGCTGAGGCAAGGCCATTTTTATTCCTTGGGAGTAGTGAGTAGGGCCTACATTGTTTGTCAGTTGACATTCATTCTTGCAATGAGATACTTTTTTTTTCTTTATGTAGGAAGAAGACAAGAACAAAAGTGCCCATGTCTCATGAATGTCACAATGCAGCTCTGGCTGAGTGGTTCTGTCTAGTGGGGTCTCTAATGAGGCTTTGCTTGAGCTGTCAACAAGAACACAGTTATTAGAAGACATTTGGGCAGGGAAAATTTGCTCCAAGCTCACTCAACTCTAGTTGTTGGTTGGGAACTATGCTGTCTGGTTTTATCTGTTGACTGGATATGGATACAGCACAGAACACCTAGGGAGTTTTAATGAGAAATGACCTAGCTCAGGTTTGTCTGTGGGGCAACAGTATCGATTGTTAATTAATGTAGGGAGACTCAGTCCATTAAGGGCAGAACTATCCCCTAGGCAGGGACCCTGAGTATAATAAAAAAGAAAGCAAGAGAAGGGCAAGCTAGCAAGGATGTGCCTGCTCTCTGTTTGCTCTGGGCCGTGACTGTGGTGTGACTCGCTGTTGGAGTTCTTAACATGGTTTATCTAACATGATGGATTGTGACCTGTGATTATAAGCCAAATAACCCCCCTTCTCCTCCCTGTGTTGCTTTTCTTGTGAGGATGTTTAATTACAACAACAGAAACGATACAGACTTCGGTTCTTCCATACATGGCCTCACTCCCGGTGCTTGGATATTTTAACAGCTTTCCTCAAAGCAAGTAAGAGCATGAGAGTGAGCAAACCAGAGAGACACAGATACCCAAAGAAAAGCCTCAATGTATTATACTATGCTATCTTGGAAGTGACATACCATTACTTCAGCCATGTTTTATTTGCCACACTGACCAGTCCTGGGACTAGTATAGGTAGAGAGCCACGAAAGCATGTAAATACCAAAACTCAATGACCACTGGGGCCATATTGGAGGCTAGCTACCAAAAGCCCTATTCCTAATGCTTAGAAACTAGAAACTCCTTGAACACCTACCCACACCACAAAGGACCAAGGTATGATAGTGTCTTTGGATGATGAAATTCTACACCGAGGTAGAAATGATCCCTAGATTACTATATATAACAAAATAGCCACATTTCACAAATGCATTATTGGAAAAAGACTATTCACAAAAATGCTCTCATTATTTCATTTATTCAGGATATTTTGTTTGTTTGTTTTTTTAAAGAAACAAGATCCAAAAATCAGAGGCTGGTCAGCAGTTCAGAGCACTGGCTGTCCTTGCAGAGGATCTGGGTTTGGTTCACAGCACCCACATCGCTGCTGAAAACCCCGGAAACTCCATTTCCAGGGGATTCAATGATTCCTACATGTACATACATGTCTATGCATACACATACATGTACATATACTCAGGGCCCACATGTACACATAAAATGAAAAATATCTTTAAAACAAGCCTACCAACAGGTAACACTGCTCTGTTAGCTTTCAAAATACTGGTTCTCCTTGGAGACACAGTGCCCGCAAGTGGCCTCAAAGGAATTTCCAGGGCAGACAATATTTATCTGCATGTTAGGGCATATGCGTTAGTTTTCCATCATGGTGGCCTAATCCATGGGAGAAGCAACTGAAGGGAAGTAGGGTTTATTTTGACTCATGGTTTTAGTTCAGCACGGCAGGGGTTGGATCAGAGTTCATGGCGGTGGATTGTGAGACAGGGTCTTTCCATTTTGTCAAAGCAGGAAGCAGAGGACAGGCCAAGAAGCAGGAGTGGGCTATAACCTCCATGGCCTACTTCCTGTGAGACTTTCGTCTGCCAACTCTGTCCTATGTCTTACAGGGTTCACAACCTCCTGAAACACAGCCACCAGCTAGGGACAGCGTGGGCCTGTGGGCAATATTTTATATCCTCACCATAGCACAGTTCCACAGGATTGGCTCGTGGAAATGCACTGGGCTCTACACCTTTCCACATATCTATGTAACTTAGTAACAATATTAAGTGGATATACAAACACTTGTATTGCCTTCTCTGGTGGTTTGAATGAAAATGGTCCCCATCGGCTCAGAGATTTTAGTACTTGGTCAGCAGGGAGTGGCACTCTTTGGAAGCATTGGGAAATGTGACCTTGTTGGATGAAGGGTGTCACTGGACTTTGAGGTTACAAAAAGTACGTTTCAAGCCCAGAGTCTCTCTCTTCCTGCCACTTGGGAATCTGGATGTAGAAACTCTCTCAGCTTCTTCTCCACCATGTCTGCCACCATGCTCCCCAGCACAATGGACTAACCCTCTGAAGCTGCAAGCCAGTCCCGACTAAATGCTTTCTTTTATAAAAATTGTTGTGGTCATGGTGTGTCTTCATAGCAATTGACACCTCCCTTTCTTAAGGGGACATTTGGGGACTTATTTTGGCTATGGAGAATCATGAAGCCAGGAGCTATACATGAGCTTTGTTTACTCCCCAAATTTATATGTGAAAGTCAAATCCCAAGCATGACAGCATTTGGAGGTGTGGGCCTTTGGAAGATGGGTCCTGGAGATCGATCCTCTTGGATGAGATAGTGGCCCTCCAGGATATCTTTGGTCATTTCCTCTGAGGGTGCATGGTGAGAAACTTGTCTATGGACCTAAGAAAGCAGATACTCTGTCCCTAACTTGTGCTCCGATTCTAGAGATTCAAAAACCATAACAAATCCATTTCTGGGGTTATAAGCCCTTCAGTCTATGGCACTTTTGCTAGAAAATCTCAAAAGGAAAGGAACACTGTATTAACTGCAACATTGTACCGTGAGCTCCTGGTTAAACAAGTCACTTAAATTGGCTAAGTTTGCCAAGCAGAGTGGTCGCCTAGTCTCACAGCAGGGTGAGGTGTGGCCTATTGACTGCAGCAGTTGTGAGGGTTGGGTCTGGTTAACACAGGGGAACTAATGAGGGTAAGGAGTAATGATAATTCCTCACGAACACTGTAAAACTGGGATTCGGGCCCTTGGGATTCATAATACAAGAATGAGAATATGCACCCATTGCTTCTTTGCAGATTTCTACTGTCGTCTTCTGCAAAGAGTTATGGATGAATTTGGTTTGAATGGCAGATAAGTCAGTAGGAGGGAAGCAGTGCAGAAGGGTTTTCTATCTGCTCATCTACTCTTTGATCTATTCGCCCTCTCTCTCTTTCTTTCTCTCTCTCCCACTTCTGTATCTTTTCATTTTTCCCTTCCTCTCCCTCCTGTAATTCCAGCACTCCCGAGGCTGAGACAGGAGGATTGCAAGGATTGCCATATATTTGAGGCTAGCCTGGGCTACAGAACAAGACCCTGCATACAGACACACTTCCATTCTGACTTGCATTATGTACACGGGTACACTTAGCACCTGTTTGCCTGTGTGTGTGAGAACTATTTGTAAAGACAGACACTATTCAAGCAAGGCATGTTGCAGTTGTGAATATAATTCAAGGCTTGTTTATTTCTCTTACTGGAGTTGTGATTCGCTGTGTATCAGCACTACCTCAGCCACAGCTTCACAGGGATGCACACCCTTTATGAGGCCTGGCAGCTATCCAGAAAGCAAGGTCTCCCCATGCTAGGAGAACCTTCATTATACAAAAGTAGTTACGGAAGTGGATGGAAACGGGCCACTTGGGGAATGATCTCCAGTTCGGAACCACATTGCTATCTGTAGATATTATTCCATTTAGTCATGTAGTTAAAACCTTCCCATAGGGTTTCTTTGGGGACTCTGGTAGCAGTATGAGGCCCCCTGCTGGCCAGAAATAATTCATGCATTTGCTTTTCAATCATTTCGAAGGGCTGGAGGCTAAAGAGCAGTGAACCATTTCTACCTTTACCATGGAGTTGGGAATGCAGGGTAACTTACTCTTGGGGAAGTTGAAAATCAAAATATTTTCCTCTCAAGATATAAGAATGGGATGTAACTCTGGATAAACCACCCACTTTTCCCTTCTTGAGTTTATTTAACACCTCATTTGAGTCTATGTTGAGTTTCTTCCCTGTACAAGATGATAGTACAGCAAGCAGCTCATTTATAATGATATGACAAAGGTTTAGAAGAGACACATGAGTATATCACCCACACGCTTAGAAACTGGAAAGTACCACAAACCATGAGGATAATGGCTGATGAAGGAGCAATTGCATTCACATAGTACGAGGGTTCCGGGAGGAGGCGGCTTTGGAGCAGATAGCTGATGAGAAGCAGGGTTTGGGCAGCCTGAGATGGGGAGAAGGATGAAGAATAACGGTATTATCATTGTAGCAGAGAGAAGAGTCTGGACAGACACAGAGGTAGGAAAACCGGAGCCTAAGGCAGGGTGGTGGAGCCTAGTCGGGCTGAGTCATAGGGAGGGTTATTGGATTGGGAGTGAAAGAGGAGTTGTCTCTAGGCCAGCCTGGAGAAGCTTGAACTTTCCCTGGGAAACTGATTTATAAAGCAATGTTGAACCTTTGACTGTCTTTGTTTTAAAATAAAAGCAACAACAACAACAAAGCATGTCACATCACAGCAGTGACGCCCCGCAATGAGCCCTGTTCATTCACTTGCAATGGGGTCATGAGAATCCTTAAGATGTTTCCAGATACAAAAGCAAGCAAAGGCTGGGGAGCAGCCAGTGTCAGAGGGTTCCTGGCAGACTTAATGAAGTCCCTCAGTAGAATCCCTTCCAAGGACTGTGACGTGCTAGGTCCCCATCAGACTCTACAAACTCTGATGCCTCATCTTTAATTGTCTTCTCATTCAGACTGAGTGGGCTTTAAGCTGCAATAATGAGGAATAAGTCTTTCTGGAGTAATGGGAAGGATATTGGATAGCTCAGAGCCACAGTAAAAAAAATCAAACACTAACCTTAATTATGTAGTATTATTATGACCAACTAAATATGCAACTTGCATTAATTCATGATTAAATTAACAAAAAGTATAGCGTACATTTAAGAGAACATTGTTAAATTCCTGACCCAGGCACTGATTTCCTAATGGCAGCTTTAGAATCACCTCCCCCCCCAGAACGTGTTAAATGTTACTGGGCGTATTGCATCACAAGACGAAAACAGCAATCTTCCAGGAGAAGAAATGGCAGCTCCAGTTGAGAAACACACAGCTGATACTTTGCAAACAAGCTGAGGGGAGATGGGAAAGTTGGAATAGCAACAAAAATAGTAAGGGCTAGAGAGATGATGGTACAGGGGGTTCTTGCAGGGGTGCCAAGTTCTGTTCCCAGCACACATGTGAAGCGGTTCACGACCACCTATACCTGAAGCTCTTGGAGATCAGATGCCCTCCTCTGGACTCCAACGGCACCTCCACCCATGTGCATGAATCCCAGCACGGACTCACGTGGGTGTGCATAATTCAACTAAAATCAGTCTTAAAAGAAGAAGGACAGCAGAAACAACCACTTAAGAAGTTTCAGCAGCCAGAAGTATTTATTATTTTGAGTGAAATGCACATTAAACTTTTGTATAAAAACCATCAAAGGTGCTATATTGGATTATTTCGGTATTAATTTACCTCCCCCATGCCATTCCTGTTATCTCCTACCTTTCTGGTTTCTTCTGTATCATTACAATCATCTAAAATTGTCCATTGTTAAAATATAAAAAATATTAGTCTGTTCTTCAAGATAAAGTACCACTAGTGATGATTTATTCAAAATGAAAATCTTTTTAAAAGAGAGGCCAGAGAACCAACTTATTGGAAAAGAGATATATAACAGAATTTTTTTAGGGACATGGGAATGCCAAGTCAATGTAGGCCTGTGGTAAAACATTTTTATAATACCTCTTTCCAGAGTGTGGGCTATTTCTTTTATGGAACTGGTTCACCAGGGTTTTTGTTATTTGTCCACCAGCCCTTGGGTACTCTCTAGAGCGAATCAAATGTGCACATATCCCATACTCCCCAAACGCTTAAGGCAAAAAGAAAGCTGGTTCTTTTGTCTTAGCAATAGCCCTTAGGATTAAGTTTGTCATTAAAGATATTATTCCCTACAAAGGGAACCGTCTTGACCCCTCATTTTCAGTCCTCTCTTTGCCCCATTTTGATTTTGGTAATCCATTTCAAAACTGAACCCATTCCCTCCTGGGCTGGTTCCGTATGAACGAACTCAACAGTTGGAGCTGAACTTTAGAGTGAAATTTCCCATTTGGTCTCTGTCTTACGCGAACAAGCTTCTCTGATTTACCACAAGAGCTGTCTGACTCTCCCGTCTCTTGACTTTCTTATTCCTTTGTCTCACCTTCCAGCACAAGGCGCTAGAGGCTAATAAAATAAGTCCGGAGCATAGAAGGACCAGGCCGAAGATGGAGATGATGGAACCGTGAGAATTGAAGCTGTAAGCCACGGCAGTGACCACGATCCCGGCGATGACGACCACCACAGCAAAGGGGATGATGCAGCGGTAGCAGGAGAGTTCTGCACCCCCTGTGGCGGCCATCAGCTGAACCTCAGTGACCAAGGGGACTGTGGTGATCACAACTTCACTCTTAGGGTTTTTCTCCATTTTCACGGGCGCAGGTGACTTTGGGGATCCCAGGTTCTCTTTTACAGGTTCTTCAGTCATTTTTTCTGGGGATGTAGGTATCCTACCTGGCTTCACAGACTAGATTTAGAAAGCCTTGCCAGGGTGGACGCTGTGAAAAAGAAGGCAGGGGACATCAGCTAGGTCACCAGCACCGGATGCAAACGGAAGCAGAGAGGTGCAGAAGCATCTCCTGTCCCAGGACACACAGAAGCACAAGCCTCGCTTATTTGCATTCCCCGCTTAGAACATTCTTTTACATTGAGTAAAAGGGAAACAACTATGTACAAAAAAGGAGAGAGATGAAGAGCAGGAATTCCTTTGCAGTATTCCATATTCCTTGGTGGTCTACAAATACCCTTTAGAAGCGTCCTTCTTTGCCTATTTCCTTTATTTTCTCTAAGCTCGGAAAAGTCTGGATCCTCATCCAAAAACGGCTCATTCAGGAGCAGTTCCACTGCTCACAGCAACGTGGACTGTGCCAGTTTCGCCAGGCGTGACACCATTCTTTCCAAGCTGTCACCCATTCACAGCTCAGGAAATCAACGTTGTAGTCGTGATAAACAGCAAGTGCACAAATGACATGCTTCTCTATCAACCGATGGTTCCTTGCACAAGGTGTACCATGAAGTGTGTGCTAGGGAACCTTCCCAACCCCACCCCAACTCTCAGCCATGACCCCACCACTCTCACTCAGCACCCAGACAGATGTTCAGTTTACAAACAATGGTTGGGTTTCAACCACTTCAGGACTTTATAACTGGAATGTAGTACTGTCCTCTATCCATTTAAATGGGGAAAAATAAGAAAAAGAAATTCTGACCACTTTATGGGATATAAATTTTTTGCTTGTACAATGCTTAAGACAAAATTAACTATAAATTTAAAAAAATTAACTGTTAATCAGCTATTAGAGTAACTAGCTGTTATTTACAAATTTTCTATGAAAAAGAACAAGGAATTCAGATATTCTGTATTTTCTAAGATGCTTACATAAATAAGCATAAATAGTCACAAAAATTAACCAGTTCAGCTTTCATCAATGTCCTTCTGTATAAAACTTGCCCCTTCCTAGTTTTGAATTTGAAGGCTTTAGTACAACACCTGAGATCCAAAAGCATCTTGTTGAAAGCCTGGTCTGAGGAAGCAGGGAGAAGGTCTTGTTGAAGCTCAGACATGCCGAGTCACTGACTTACACATTGAGAGGCCGAACAGTCGCAAGGACTACAGATTCGCTGGACACTTGAGACCCTTCTGATGACATTAATCCTTTAAGTATATTGAGCAGTGATTCAAAATGCGCACAATACTGAATCAGACCTTCTTCATTCTTCCCACTCCTGGGAGGTCAAACTATCACTCACCAAGGAGCGAAGTTAGAGAGCTCTACCTGATGTCATTTGCGTATAATTTAATCATCAAACAAACTACTTTTGTCCAGTGATCTCCCTCTCCACCGAGATCATAATTTAAAAACCAACATCTGTCCCCAGCTTAAACATACATACCTCAGGGAAAGGCAGTCCATTGTCACGGTAGCCACTTGACTTGGGAGAGAAGGACCAGTCAGAGTATCTTCCTTCAGCTTCTGGGAAAAAGCCTGTCACCCACTGGGCACTGGTAAAAGGACAAGTCAGGGATTGTCTGGGGAGACAGAAAAGACATAAGAATTCTTAACCGTAGATTTGGCTGGGAATGCTGGAGCTCCACTCTTGCACCACCCTTGCTCTTAAGTGACGCCTGTCCTTCCCTCCCCCTCTCATCTTACTCCCTCCTCATCTGCTTTGCCCCTCCCTGCCACTTTTTTTTTTCCCTTCCTTCTTTTCCTTGCCAGCAGATTCTGAGTTTTGGCTCGCCCCGGCTCTGTTCGGTGACATGGTAATTCAGGATCATCACTTCAGAGTCCCCAGAGACAGGAGCCAGCGTCGACTTTTATTTCTCTTCATAGCGTTTACTAAGCGGGGCTGCTTTGAATTACTCATTTTTTTTCCCCCAGCCAAACTCCAGATCTTCCTCTGCCTGCCCATCAGGCATTTTCCTAAGAGGATCCAAGAGAATCCCAGAGTCAGCATTGCAGACCTAGCTGAGGGACAGAACTGGGGGGGACAGACGTTCTCGGGAGGCAGGAACAGCTGTGGCGTTCTCAAGCCACTAAAGCCAGCCTCGAGGCCAGCAAGAGACCCAAGCTCCTAGCTCGCCCAGGATTTTTACTTATGTATGTACAAGATGGCCAATAGAAAGTTAAAGGCACACCCCTTGTCTGATGTTGGCTCACTTACAGGCAAGAGTGAGGAATACTATTTCTGGTTAAACTGGGAAATCCTGGCTATCTTTAAGGTAGAGAGTGGACTCACATGTATTGGGTTTCCGCTTAAGCTGGGAACCCCTGGCTATCCCGATGAAAGCAGGATTGCTTGCTACTTGTGCTGGGAGTTGAACAGCTTTGACGAACCTGAAATCGCCGCTACTGCCATCATCAGCACTGCTGCCATTGACAGAATGCCTACTATGCACCCATAGTAGGCACTAATTATAGTATGGCATAATATTAAGGGCTGGCACATTAGTTCACTCCCATTTCACTTGTACACGAAGCTATGGAGGCTTAAAGAAGTAAAGAAATGGGACCAAGTTTACAAAGAAACAATTTCTTGTTCTGGACCCCAGTCACGTTTTAGTTCTCATACAGGGGACTGAGCCCAGGGCCTCATATATACTAGGCAAGTATTCTATCTTTGAGTTAATTTCCCCGTCGACCCTTTGCCTTGAACTTTAAATCCCCCTCCCTCCCCCGTCTCAGTGTCATCAGTAGCTCGAGTCACAGACCCCTTCATCGCCTGGTCCACTGGACCTCCGTTATGAATGGGTACAAACTCACACACAGAGCTTGTTAAATGTAGACTCCAAAGAAGCAGGTCCCCAACTATCTTCCTGCCTAGGGCAAGCCTGCTGCTCCTTGGCCCATTTTAATCAGCGATATTCAAACACACACCTACCTGACACACGGTTCTATTAAACACTAAGCTCAAGGCTATGTCCCGTCCTCATCAATGGCCCGATATGATTATGTTTCTTACAGACCAGCTACTTGAAATTCTAAAGTATCTGAACAGCATAAAGCCTGCGGTGGAAAAAGAGCAGTGACAATTCTAGGGGGCCATGATAAGCCTGTTCCTATATTTCTAAATGTTATCCGCTCATAATTTCCTAAATCTAAGGCTTACCAAATCTGGTAGTGTTCACACATTCACGTCAATACTGGAATAACTGTGTTTTCCCATCTATTAGATGCTCAGCCCTCTTGACCTCTGGCCTGGATCCTCTTAGATACCCTACTTCCTCTCCCTCTCACCTTTCCAGCCCAGTCTGCCAACAATGACCCAGAGACCAGAAGTCCTCTCTTCTCAGGATCACACTGAGAAGTCCCTGAGAGCTGGCTGAGGTTGTGGGCTCCTACATAATGGACACAGCAGGTCCCTGCAGGTCCCTAGGAAGCCTAGACTGCTACTATCCTGACTGCTTTCAATGAGCCCTGGAGAAATGAAGTCTCACGTCTAACTAGGGACATCACTGGGTGCTGAGGTTGGGCATATTTGGAACCAGGGCATTTCAGAAGATGGTGGCCTGGGGCCTGGGTTATGTCAAACGGAAGTCTCAAAGAGAATGTCTTTTCACCTGAGAATTCCTATCTTTGGGGCGAGGTCCTCCCTAATTTCTAGCGCAGGACATTTTCTGTAAATCTAACCTATCCCCAGAAACCCCAAGGAAGCGCTGAACACCATTCTGCCTGCCTGTAGACTGTTCTTCTTTGCTTCCTAAGCCAAAGGTAAAGAAATGAAAGGAGACAGGCATCCTTTCCCATGGCGAGCCCTGGGCTGAACCGGTAAAGAGAGACAGTGGACAGACCTGGGTCCCCAAAGTGCAAGCCCACAAGTTCGTTGCTACTTCAAATATTGAAGCTTCAGCCTTCCTATGGCTTCAGGTGGGCGGTCAGTACCACTCCCGCAAGCACAGCGTGTGGGCATCTGTCTCGGGATGAAGACGCCAGTCTCCAAACTCAGACAACTCCTGATTTGCACTGGTGAATTCAAAGAAATAGAAAGCTTAGGAATTAGCCAGAAACTGTGCCAGAAAAGATAGCCACCAAGGCAACCAGGGACACAGGCAGCTTCAATTAATTAACTTTTACCTCTCCACCAGAAATTCAAAAGGAATCCACGGTGACGTGTGCCAAAAGTTTTTGGTATTAAGCACCCTGAGGAGTCGCGTCGGGGACACCTGGCCCCACGTGCAAAATTTCAACACAATGCATCCAGCCTTTTTTTCTGTGAGCCCTCTACATGCAAAAGCGGGAGGAAATCTCTCCGGTTCTTTTCAGAGCGCAGGGCTTGGGAGGACTCTTAAGTTTGGAAAACTTTTCTGAAGGCTTCCAATGCACAAAGGATACTAGTCCTTCCTAGGCGAACCCTGGCAGGCTTTCTACAGTTCTCTCCCAGATCTTTCAAAGAGCGAGGAAATCGAGACTCACCTTTCTCAGCCAGACCCCGACTGAGACAGCTGCTAGAGGCAACCAACAAGCTAGGCCGACAGCGGGATGCAAATCACCAGGCTAGGGATCGTGCACAAAGTACTCAGCGAGGCTTACAGACCATTAAGGGACCGGAGACAATTTGGTGAGAGGAAATTCCTTACATGCTGCTGTATTTTACTCTATGTTTTCCTTCGTGCCAGCATCATCCATTGTAATTGCAGGCGTGAATCCATAATAAACCAATTATTTAAAAGGCCACTAAGAACCTCTTCTGCTTTGTTTTTTTTTTTCTCGTTTTAAATCTTATGCCAACATTCATTTTCAAGTTTTTCTCTAACCAAAATTCTCTTTTTGATATCACTCCTTTGTAATGTCATGAAGCTGCAGAAAAGAACTCTTTTGTGGTCTCCTATATTAGCGGTGGAGGGGTGGGGATGGGTGGAGGGGTGGGGGTGGGTGGAGGGGTTGGGGTAGGTGGAGGGGTGGGGTGGGTGGAGGGGTTAGAAGTGGGTAGAGGGGTGGGGTGGATGGAGGGGTTGGGTTAGGTGAATGGGTGGGGTAGGTGGAGGGTTTGGAGGTGGGTAAAGGGATGGGGTAGGTGGAGGGGTTGGAGTGGGTGGAGGGCAGGGGTGGATGAAGGGGTTGAGGTGGGTGAAGGCAGGCCTTTGGAGAGGTAAGGGAAGGTGGAGTGGGATCCTCTGCATCTCTCTCATCAGCATGTTCAAGCGATGAGAGTGGAAAGAGATAATGACTATGGTGCCTGGGTGGTCCGTCGTCCCCTGAAGCCAGGTAAGCTGGGTCACCAATGCTCCTCATCTGAGGATGCCCAAATGGCGTTGACCTGATAACACACTAAACAGTCACATCTCGAAAGAACTGAAGCCACCGAAAGCATCGTCCACAACAGTATGAGGCCTCCATGGCAGAGAGAATGCCCCCCCTTACTAACAGCCCATCTTTCTTGGTCATGAGGCACAGTAGCTTAGCGGGGAAGGGAGCAGCAGTAGGGATAGGGATGAAGCAAGAAGAATGGTGAGTACTAAGACAAAAAGGTCACTGGTGCATTTCCGGTCAGTAGACACCAGGCTGGAGCTTTGGCACGCTGCTGCTGAAGCTCTGGCGTTTTCTCCTCTGGGAATACACACGCTTTACATTTGGAGAAGAGCGGCCCGCATGTGTGTTTGATTGCTTTCCCACTTTCATTTCGCTTGAGCTGGCTGGCTGGTGTCCAGCATCCCAGAAGATGCCAATTCCTCTGGCTCCTCTCTGTCCAATCAGCACGTGAAGATCTCTGTCATCACCCAGGCCAGTTAAGTTCAGGGAGATTTGGGAAGCTGGCCAACTTTTCTCCAGCTTTTTCTTTCTTTCTTTCTTTCTTTCTTTCTTTCTTTCTTTCTTTCTTTCTTTCTTTCTTTCTTTTTAATAAGGGTGTGTCTGCAGTTTTACTCTGACATCAGGGACATTTTTGAAAGTGATCTGTGCTTTTTACTTTTTTTTTTTTTTTGGATAATGTGTCTTGCTATAACTCCTCCCAAACACACGCCCTGCAATTTTCTTTAAGTAGAAAGGCCTAATAGGAATGAGGAGCAAGGAGTTTGCTTTAGATGCAAACCGATTTCATTATGTTTGGGTCAGTTTCCAGGCACTGGAGTCTCCTAAGATGTCCTTGTGGAGAGAAAGGAGAGCATGGATCTCTTAGGTCAGTGGTTCTCAGCTGTCCTAAGGCTGCCACTCTTTATCACGGTTCCTCATGTCATGGGGACCTCCAATCGTAAAATTATTCTTGTTGCCTCTCCATAACTGTAATTTTGCTACAGTTATGAATCCTAATGTGAATATCTGTGTTTTCATACCATCTTTTGGGGTTTGTGACCCGCTTCTTGGGAACTGTTGTCTTAGAAGCATGTTCTGTAGAAGCAGCTATCACGGGCCATACAGACCACTGCCCAGGGACTGGTGTTTGTGTTTTATTGTGGAAGACTCGGAGACTCTGCAGTGTGCCGTACTTTTGTGAACCTATACTCTTAGGAAAAGCGGCAGAACCAAGGTGAAACTCTTGGGGCCTCTACCTTGTTCCACAAGGAACCTACTGCCCGTTGTTTGTGCTTGTTTAAGATATTATACGAATAGTTTTCATTGGGGTTCAGTCTCACTTTGAGGGGATTGCAGGGTGATGTACTGTCATTGTGCTTACTCTTAGGAAAGTACCCTAAAAAGGGATGTCTACCGCACCAGGTTACCCTTAGTTCTCTGAAAATAAATGTAATGGTTGAATTGTACGTGTTGTCCCTTTTGACTCTAAGCACTGAGACAGGTTTGGGTGTGTTTGAGGTAAGACTGACAGGGGTTGATACCCACAGAGTGTAGAGCAGAAGTTACAGCAGTCGGAACATTTCAGGGGTTCCCCAGACCTTTCCTTTCTCTTCAATGTAAGTTCCTCAATATTTGCTGCACTCCTTTTGAAGGCCAGGACCTTAGTCAGCACCGTGGCAGAGGAGATGCTGAAGCATTGGTAAAAATGAGGTCTCGTCTCAACAGGAAGGGCAAGTGAACACCAGGGCAGGCAATCTGCATTAGCGTGCATAGTAAGCTGCAGCGCATGCTCCAGAGAGAACCCACAGATCCTGGACTAGGTGTGTAAGTCGGGGACATGAACGGGGCTGGTAGCTTCATGCCAGACAAGCATAAAGCAGTATAAGGAGAAAATGTAATTCTGGGTAGATGGAATAACCTGCATTGCACAAACACGAATTTGGTAATTCTGAATCCCCTGCAAGAGATAAATAGGTAAGTAGCTTGTATGGGTCAGGCAGAAAACAGCCCATGTGAGACTGGAAATGATTCATGGTCACATTCGTGACCAAATGATGCATTTGTAGTTTGTTTTGAATGGGACACCACAGTCAGCTCTGTATTATTAATAGTGGTTTAAACTAGAGTGTTGGAATGTTCTGTGGAAAGTCATACGGGGAAGGGGAGAACAGGCTGGGAGAGCAGGCAAGAATTTGTGACACTGGAACCCTGCTACTGGGAAGTGTGGACAAGCAGGAGTTAGGAAGATGGCTAAGATCAGGCCAGTTTGGCAGTGGGTTTTATGTGGGACTGGCTACCAGGAGAGGGGTTTCTAAGATTGTAAACCCCAGACGCTTAGCAGCTCAGTGGGACTGTCCGCAG